AAATAAAATACATTTTTGTTAGTAGTTAAGGTACTTGAATGTTTTTTTTAAGATTTAACTCCTGAGTTTAGTATCACTTTAAGTACTGTCACCTGTGAAGTGATGGTACATACAGCAGTGATGAATAGTCCCCTTTTGGAAAACATCAGGACTTTAGTATCAGATCCAACAGGACACATCAAAGTCTAAAGGAGATTGGTGAACATAGGAGACATTTCCCAATCACCCTGCTTGGCCTCCTGAAAAAGTGAGCCGAAGGTGAGGCTGCCATAAACACAGGATGTTAGTCGAATAGTTGGTATCAGAAGGGACAGGGGTAGAGAAGCGGTTGGAAGGCAGGTGTCGGTGAGCAGTCACATTTTTTAATTTCTTTTAAGCCATTTCAGCCCCCAGTAGTGAATTGGGCTCTACTGAGCTATATGTCCATGGTCCCTGAAGTGATTATGAACTTGAAGCCTAAGGGAATGAAGTTGCCATAAGGGGTACTGCTACACCGTATCTCTTCTGGCAGTAGAAGTAAAAGGGGTAATATTCAGTTTTGACTTGAATGTACCTAAAGGGTATTTACCTGTATTTTGCAGCTATAGTACTCTCTATACATTAAATGGTTTAAATACAGGTGAAACTCGAATAATTAGAATATCGTGCAAAAGTTCATTTATTTCAAATGCTGGAACATGAAGTCAACAACCCCATAGAGCTCGTCTGCGGAAGGAAGCATGTAGTGCTCCAAAATCTCCTGGTAGACGGCTGCGTTAAACCTGGACTTAATGAAGCACAGTGGACCAACACCAGCAGATGACATGGCTCCCCAAATCAACACAGACTGTGGAAACTTCACACTGGACTTCAAGCATCTTGCAGTGTGTGCCTCTCCATTCTTCCTCCATACTCTGGGTCCTTGGTTTCCAAATGAGATGCAAAATTTGCTCTCATCAGAAAAGAGGACTTTGGACCACTGAGCAACAGACCAGGTCTGTTTTTCTTTAGCCCAGGTAAGACGCTTCTGACGTTGTTTGTTGTTCAGGAGTGGCTTGACAAGAGGAATACGACATTTGAAGCCCATGTCCAGGATCCGTCTGTGTGTGGTGGCTCTTGATGCACTGACTCCAGCCTCAGTCCACTCCTTGTGAAAGTCCCCAACACTTTTGAATGGCCTTTTCCTGACAATCCTCTCCAGGCTGCGGTCATCCCTGCTGCTTGTGCACCTTTTTCTTCCACACTTTTCCCTTCCACATAACTTTCTATTAATGTGCTTTGATACAGCACTTTGGGAACATCCAACTTCTTTTGCAATTACCTTTTGAGGCTTTCCCTCCTTATGGAGGGTGTTAATGATGGTTTTCTGCACAACTGTCAGGTCAGCAGTCTTTCCCATGATTGTGATTCCTACTGAACCAGACTGAGAGACCATTTAAAGGCTCAGGAACCCTTTACAGGTGTTATGGCTTAATTAGCTGATTAGAGTGGGACACTTTGAGCCTAGAATATTGCACCTTTTCACAATATTCTAATTTTCTGGGATTGTGGATTTGGGGTTTTCATGAGCTGTAAGCCATAATCATCACAATTATGACAAATCACGGCTTGAACTATCTTGCTTTGCATGTAACGAGTCTATCTCATATATTAGTTTCACCTTTTAAGTTGCATTAGGGAAATAAATGAACTTTTGCACGATATTCTAATTATTCGAGTTTCACCTGTAGGTAGCACTGCACTATTATTTAAAACTAGGGATGCACCGATATCGATACAAGCATCGGTATCGGCCGCGATACCGAGTATTTGCATGAGTACTCGTACTTGTGCAAATACTCCAAAACATAAAACGAGTACCTGTGCCGCGTCCGCCAAGCTGTGCCACACTACATTGTGTTCATGTTCTTCATAATATTAAGAAACTGACCTAAAAATCATGATTTTGTATTGCTTTAGAAAAAATGTGACCTGTCCCTTTAAGAAAAAGTATCGGTAATTGGTATTTGAAAAAAGTATCAGTACTCGTACTCGGCCTTAAAAAAGTGGTATCGGTGCATCCCTATTTAAAACAGAATATGAAACAGTAAATAGTGCTATAATGCACCTTGACTGAAGACTCAACTCTACAGGGAAGCATATCCCACCTCAACCTAACCGCTCAACCATCATGTTCTCAAACAATTCATCCCCACACAGCTCCCTCCTCATGTATCACTTCCCCATCCCTTTTAGATAGGGAAGCCCTCATGGGCAGGGCCCTCCTTACCATCTTGTCTTGATTTGTATTGTGATTGTAATGTCTTCCTTATATTGTCAAGCGTTGAACAAACTGTTGGTGCTATATAAATCCTGTATAATAATAATAAGTGAATTTATAGCACGATTTATCATTTATTTAAAATATGAAAGTTTTAAAACTTTCATATTATATTTTAAATAAATGATAGGTAGCACTGCACTATTTCAACTGTTTGTTGTAGTGCACTAGTCACAATTCTTTTAGCACAGCTGCTTAGAAACAGGAGGAGTTTAAGCACAACCGTAGCGCGATGGTTCTTTTTAAAAATACAAAAAAAAAAAAGTCTGCAGACAGTGACCAGGAAAATATGGCAGCAGCGGCAGATGGATAGACAAGGGGGAAAGGGGACCTCCTTGGTCCAGCTCTGCTGGAAGAGGGCAAGCTAGAGGGTAAGTCTGCCAAAATGTGCAAGTCTGCTGTGCATGCAGGCACATTTTGGCCAATGTTCCAGGTGAACACCGCTGATTAAGTTCTGATTTAAAAACTAGGTTAACTGGAAATGTGAATACGTCAGATATGTAAAGTCGGTTATTTATACTGACATTTGTCATGTTTGTGCATGTTTCCTTTGAATTATATGTTGCAGGGAACAATCACACCTCTAACACACACCCAACAGAGTAATCAGCTGTAAGACAGTGTTTGAGTGCAGATGCATACTTAAATGATTATTGAGTAGGACATGTACAGTATTTAGGATTTCCTCAAAATTTTGATGACGCAGAGTACACACCCTTTATTCATAACACATGTATTATAAATTAGAACTCCATGTTTTACCTGCTAAAGGATTTAAAGTTATGTGCAGCCAGCCTCTTGAGCCAGACACACCTGCTAGGCAGGTCAACTGAGACAGCTTAATCAAGAACTCACCCCAAGCACACAGATTGGCTAATGAGAGAGCACTTTCTCTTCTGAGTCAATATA